CAAGACCCCAAAACACACACTAGATTAAGAAAGCCAATCTAGTGTTAGGAAGGCAGCTGGATCTAGTTTCTTCCTTCCAAACAGTCACCGCCATCTTAAACTTCAGATATTTGTTTTATGACATAGGAAAACTCTCTTCTTTTGGAAACAATAACTAAAAACTAGGGTTTGTTACTGTTAAATATGTTTGTGAGCAAACACACACACATACACACACATACACACACACACACTCTCCTGCTTGGAGAGAAACATGCAAGATTTTTGCTTGCAGAGGATGCCTAGAATCAATCAACTCCTCCGTGAATATAAAGTTTCACCTACATGACTTCCCTGAACTATTGGGAAAAGGGAAATAAGGAGCACATCAACAAAAAGTGGAATCTTCTCAAGAACCCAGTAGATGATTCGAGGCCCATACTTGAGAAAGTATGGAAGGACCACAAGGACACTGGTTCTCAAATGCTGCTGCACTTCTGAATCCCTGCGGATTTTCAAAAACTGCTGGGGCAGAAATCTCATTGCCAGAGATTCTGATATAATTGGTCTGGGGCTTGATCTGGACATCAGGACTTTCGAATGCTTCCCAGGTGATTCTATGGCAGCCAAGAATGGAAATCCCGCTCTAGTGTTCCATTAGCATCAGCAAAGGAAGTGCTCAGAGTCCATATCTTCCACTTGTTGGCTGTGCCCAGCTTCAGTTTTCTAGCTATAAAATTATATGCATAAGAATGGCTTAGCCAAGTTCATCTGCTTTTAGAAATCTGTAAAGTCACTTCCTAGAGGATATAGTTTAAAACATTTTAATACATTAAAATTATTACAAAGGAGGTAAATGGAAAAGGCAGGCTATTTGTTAAATTAGAAGAAATAGCAATGACTATAAGTGAAAGCCCACAATTATATCCATCCTTGTAGAAACAATAATTGGCAAATACAGAAGGAGAGCATGTGTTAGCTGCAAGACAACTGAACTTCAGAAAAGTTAGGCACTGAACATTTGAATAAGGATTTGCAAAATGTCCTAACGACACGGTGAGAAAAAGGCCCCCATGCATGGAAGGGTGATCTAATTTCTGTTTGTTTACTCTGCAACTTTCAGTGGTAATAGAAAGTAATGACATTTAAAAAGACCAAAAAAAAAAAAAATGAGCTATGACCATTACAAGTCCTTACTTTCTACTCCTCCCTGTATGTATCTAACATAAAAGATACTCAGTAAATTATGGAAAACAGTACAAAGATTCCTCAAAAAACTAAAAATAGACTTACCATATGATCCAGCAATCCCACTCCTGGGCATATATCCAGAGGGGGCTCAAATTCAAAAAGATACATGCACCCAAATGTTCACAGCAACGCTATCTACAATAGCCAAGATATGGAAGCAACCTAAAAATCCATCAACAGATGACTGGATAAAGAAGTTGTGATATATTTATACAATGAAATACTACTCAGCCATAAAAAAGAATAAAATAATGCCATTTCAGTAACATGGATGGATCTGGAGATTGTCATTCTAAGTGAAGTAAGCCAGAAAGAGAAAGAAAAATACCGTATGATATCACTCATATGTGAAATCTTAAAAAAAAAAAAAGAAGAAGAAGAAGAAGAAGAAGAAGAAGAAAGAAGACACAAATGAACTTACCTACAAAACAGAAACAGACTCATAGACATAGTAAAGAAACTTATGGTTACTAGCGGGAAATGGGGTGAGAATAAATTGGGAGTTCAAGATTTGCAAATACTAACTACCATATATAAAATAGATAAAAAATGAATTTCTATATAGCACAAGGAACTATATTCAATATCTTGTTGTAATCTATAATGAAAAAGAATATGAAAACAAATATATGTTATGTATATGCATGACTAGGACATCGTGCTGTACACCAGAGGTTGACACACTGTAACTGACTGTACTTCAATTAAAAAAAAATGATGAGGACAAAATACAGCTTGTAATAGATTGAGAGGGGAAATATAATTAATACATGAAATGAATTGCTGTATCTCTTTATTAGGTTGAACTGTATGAAATTGCCAATACTTAACCATTTTTGACCCAGGAAAATGGAATTATCTTATTGCTCAACTGAATATATGTGCTAATTTATGAGTATAGTTTTCAAGAAGAAACTTAATCTTAGAATTAAAAAATAGAAAAAGGAAATAAACAACAGAAGTTTTCAAACCCCCAAGGCTATGTGGATTTAACAGAGTTGGAAATTGCTTCAAGCCTTCTTATTCTGATATGAGAAAAATGCGCCTACAGTTAAAAGAAACATGAGATTTGTGAATTGTATTTCAGTAGTAGAGAAAAAGCTTTTAACCAATCAACCACATTTTTGTGTCAGGATGGTTACAAAAGAACATCACTTCTGGTTCTTGTCAGAAGCAAAAGCTACCAGCATTTGTTACATGTTGAATTCTGTCTCTCTAAATCACAAAATGAGGACTTTGCTTTTACCTACAATATCATCCAAAATCTTCTGAGAATTATTTTCTGATATATTATCTGGATATTTTAATGGCCTTCCTCACTGATGTCCCACTGCATGCAAGGATTGGATGGATTCATAATTATCTGAATCTACAACCTTTCACATGGGTCAAATATGCAGATCATAGACCTTTAAAAGTTGATAGTTCACTTAGCCCTCAGAAGTTATCCAGTTCAGTTTCACAAAGGACAAAACAGAGCCTTGGAGAGGTAAATCAATGACATACACTTACTGAAAGATTTCATGCTGAAGCCCTGGTCTCCTGGTTCCTAGTCCTTAGTACACTTTTCACTGTGTTATAATATGCCTTTTCTCCCTGTTATGTAATGCAGGCCAATCTGATTTTCCTTTTCCTCTTTTCATCTGGAGTTCTGAGTCAGCTAATCTTGCTAACTACTGGGACAAGAAGCAAAAGGCTGAAATGGCTCTGTAATCAAAGAAACTCCCTGACTATGAGGGGAGATTCTATTAGAAGCATGTCTCCTACATGCTCGGACTTCACATCTGTTCCTTTTTTCCACCCCCTTTAATTCCTGAGGCTCTCTTTTGTTTCCCCAGCATAGTTTCAGACTGTCCAACTAGCCTTTTGACCCCGACCTGTGCCTTGCCTTTAGTTTTTAGCTGCACGTGGGTTTCTGTCCCTGACCTGTGGCCTGGCCTGCCTTCTGGTATCCTCTTATATCTTGGTCTGTGCTTGTTTAACTGGTTTCTCATTGGTTGTTTCACCTTTTAGCCTTGAGCCATACCTTTGCTATATTTTTTCTTCATAGCAGATTAAACTCAATTTTAAGTCCTGAGATACCTGGAAAATCATGTGAATTTCATCCAGAAAATCCTTGGGAATTGCTTGGCATCTGTGTGGAACCCCAGATTCACTCTGCAGGCTTGGTGACTAGAGTTTGAAATAACTCCCATGGGTCACAAAAGAAGCTTCCTAGTTATAAGTGAATCTTGCTGTATAAAATGGTTATGTCACCCTAAGTTATGTAAAAGTCAAAAATGCGATTTTGATTAGTTTAGTAGACTTCATTTTTCAGAGAAGTTTTAGGTTCACAGCGAAACTGAGCAGAAAGTACAAAGAATTCTGGGCAATTTTTTTACATTGGCTAACTGTAAAGAAAACTTATTGTGATTTATGTTATGAAATAAAAGATCTATTTTTAATTTATCTCCTGTGGAAAATCTACTCAGGAGCTAGCTAAACTAGATAACTATGCCAGTTACCAATTTATTGACTCTCAGCTCCAAATCCATCCTTCACTGTCTGCTCTTTGAAAATAGAGACGGACCCTGTAACTATTTCTGCTTTGCAGCTGGCACAGTGATTAGCCATGTCAGAAAAGGGTGCTGGAGAGATGCTGAAGACATAAGGGGCTTTGCTTCCTAGTTCCAATGTTTATTCCTTCTTACTCCTGCTTCATGGATACCAGTAGCATGTGTGGAGGACACCCAGTGGTGCTTGTGCCCATGGAGTTCACTGGCACCACATGGTTAGCTTCCCATCAAATTCCAGAGGTAATCCCATGGTCAGATTTCCACTGAGTCTTGCAAGCATGAGCATCGCAATGGCTGACTTGTAGCTTTGGCCTCCTGCACCCACGTAGGGCGTTTCCTGCTTGTCCAGTGAGTGCGCACAAGTCCTGGCTGAGCCCATCCAGGAACTTCCCCACCTTGGAGCAGGCCACAACCACACCTTCTACAGGGAGATCTGAATCCCAACCATGGAGAATGGGACCCCACTTCCAAATTTGTGTCTTCCACGAGAATCCTCCTTCAGCCAGCCCTGTTCTTTAAAGTTCTCTCTATCCCTTTATATGACATAACTTTTTGGTTAGAATTAATATTCTTCATCTTAAACTTTCCCTATTCAAACTACTATGTTGTTTCCGTCTCCTCACTGACCCTGATTGGTACAATAACCTTGGGAAAAATAACTTTAATTTTTGGTGCATGCATTCATAAAATGGAGAAACCTGGTAAGCTGATCTCAAATGCCCTTTCCAGCATTAAAATCACATTGTGCTAGGGAACTCAGGGTTTTTCCTATATCGAGTCGATCTGAAGTATACTAGAATGAATGCCATATCGCACAGTATTATTGGGTATTGTCTTCCTCAGCCTCAGTCATAATAAATGGGTCTCCCATCTTATCTGAATAATGGTTTCCTCCTTCTAGGTCAAAATACTGAGTCACAGCAGCAGCCAATATTATTTTATGCACACAGTGGGCAATCAAATACTATGAAATCCTCTGTGAGGGTTCTAACTAGGAAGCTGTCTAAGGAACAAAATGGAAAACCAGAGATTCCTGTATGAATACGAGAGTCTGAAATACACTACAAATATCAGTTTATCCATTAGTGAATATAAATATTATAAGGACATATTAAGTATAGATATTGTTTGTCCTAATACATTACAGAAAACTCCATTCACCTAACGCATTACAGAAGACCTTCATTACCACACAATTTCAATTTTTTCTTTTACCTTTCTCTGTCTTTTACTGACTGTTCTGCCATTAATTTCTTCAGTTCTTCCAGACGCCGAAGATCTCTCATTTCCATTTCTTGCCATTTCTTTTCTTTCTCAGCCCAGTATTTTCTTATCTATTGTATAAATGTTACATAAAATTTAAATTAACAATAGATATGCAAAAGCAAGGAACCAAGTTATGACATTATCCATTGGTTCATATAGCAAAGATTCAATTTGAATGGCACTTCCATCATTTTTGTCTCTTAGATCTGCTTACAATATATCGTCAAGAGAAAAAATAAAGTAAAACACAAAAGTACATGTCCTGAGAAACTGCATGGTTTAACAGTTTCTGAAGTGGACGTATAACTTGTGCTGAGACCTAAGGTTTTCATCTATGGCTAAAATAATCGACTTTCAGGGAACCACAATAAAAGCATGTATTGTCTCTAAAGTATATGATCTACCTGTTACTCAAAAATATTTTTATCCTCTTATGGTAATGTAGTCTTTAACAAATATAGCATTAAACCTATTTTTACTTTAAAAGCATGGGTTTATTTATGCTAATGGACAGCAGGATGTTGAAAGCTTTATGCATCTGGGGAAGTGGCAGGAGATAGGTGGGAGGAAGGAGGAAAAGAAAAAATTAGCAGGGTTGTGATAAATAGTAGTTCTGACTTATGTGGTAAAATGAAGGACAAATTTATCAAGCTTGAAAAGGTGAAAGCATTATTCTCACTAGGCATGTTTTCCTTCCCTTCTCTCGGAATGGAGACAGAATGAGAAAATCTGAAGCACACATAAGCTATTTTCAGGGGGCTGAAACCATTATTCAGGGTTCACCTCATCATGAGGCAGCTGAAATTCATGTATAATTGACAGAGGACCATTCAACTACTCTGATCTGCCATGTTGTGTCTGGGTCAAGAACTGGATCTTGCTGATAAAAAACAATACCTCAGTGGTGAATGGTGGTGAGTGACCACCAGCAGAGGGGCTGCAGCAGAGGATGGGTTAGCCTCACCCCAAGGTGGCATTTTCCCTTTTGATAATGAATAAGAAGAGCTAAGTGGTTTCCAAACTTGCCCAGCAATATGGTCTCTGCCCACTGGGGGAACCAAGAGAGGCATCCCAAGCACCAGGGCCACAGCCACAGCAACCCTGCCGTGGGGCCTGCCACACCAACGGCCACAGTAGTGACATCCATTCAACGCTAAGTAAATAACTGGATGAGTCCACAGGAGTGATTCCACTCCAGAGACGGCTGAGACCTACATTTAGAGAGAACAGAGATGGAACCAGAAAGGTAGCAGCACCAAAGATGGAAAGTGAGAGAGATGGTAAGAGAGGGAAAAGAGGAAACACTGACTGATATTTCAGAGTCCTGACTGATAAATGCCAGGGCATTCTATTAGTGCCAGGTACGGAAATGTTAACAGTCATTGCATCATCTCCCTCCAGGTTAGTTAGTAAGTGATCTTTATTTTATTCTTTATACTTCTCTGTGTTACTTTGCTTTTTGCAATGAATATACATTTCTTTCATAATCCGAGAAAATAAAGCTACTTCAAAACTAAAGTTTGAGAAAGAACAGATATTGGATGAAAAAGCATTTTTCTCTGGATTCCGAAAGACCAGTAATGTTGCTCACTCCCAGCACTGACCTTGACCTTGGAGGGAAGTCAGTGGTCTTTTTGCCAACAATCCCTTGTTTACAAACAGACCAACCCCAGGTTGCTGGTATCATCAGATCACTGACACCATTTGGTGCAGTGTTCTGTGCTGGCCCTAGAAGTATGTCATCCCTGAGGCTTTTTGGCATCTCAGGACCAATTATTTCCATTTTTGATTCTGATATCCTTGGCCATTGCTGTAGCATAAAAATCAAGCGCGCTCTCTCTCTCTCTCTCCCCCCCCCCATTGTTCTGACTGAAATTCTCCTTAGTGAAGGATGCTTTTCTTCTGATGCCCCATGTGCCAGGAGGCTGGGGAATGGTTTGGGCATTTTCCTCCTTGTTAATGGCTACTTTAAGACCATGATGCGATCCCTCTCATGTATAATGCCTTTTTCCTTTGATGTTTACATCATCTAGCCTATATCACCCTCTGCCTGTCCTTATCACTGGCATGTGTGGACTTCCAGGTCACTCTCAAATAGTCATCAAGAATTCAGATATGGGGGTAAGGGGGTGGGAAAGGATAAACTGGGAGTTTGAGATTTGAAGATACTACTATATATAAAACAGATAAACAACAGTTTCTGTATAGCACAGGGAACTATATTCAATATCTTGTAATAATCTATAATGAAAAAGAATATGAAAACGAATATATGGTTATGACTGAAACAC